TTGCATATTTTTATAAAATTTTTTTAAACCCTTAAAAAAAAAATTGAAAATTTATTCATGTTTTAAATTTTAAAATTTATTAAAAAGGGTATTTTTTGGGCCAAAATTCATGCTGTTTTTTTTTCTGGGGGTTTTTCAAAAACTTGGCCCTGATAAAGGGGCCCTTTGGGGGTTAAAAAGGCCTTTGGATTTTTGCTTTAAAATTCCCTGTTTCTCGGGCGTTAAAAATTGGGGGGTTAAAGGCGTTGGCACCAGGCATTTCTTTTGAGGGGGGGCCCAATTAATATTTTTTAATCAAATTTAAAAATCCCAAAAATTAAAATTTAATTATTTTCTTAACGCGGTTTCTAAAATTTTCCATTTCTCCCCCTTTTCCCCTTGCCATTCCTGATTGATTCTTTGCGGGTTTAAGGGATTAAAAGAGAAGTTAAAAAATTATTTAATTTTTAAAAAACAATATAATTTGTAAACCCATAAAATGGATGCATATTTTTTGGGTTTAAATAATTCTGAAAAAAAATGACCCTTTTTCAAGTTTTCTTTTTTTCGAAAAATACTTTTCCGGAAAGCCCAAGTCATGCTGTTTTTTTTGGGAGAAGCGCCCTTTTTTCCATTACATGGGATCCTCCCTGAAAGGGTTTGCGTTTTGAATTTTTTTTAAAATTTTCCTTTTTTTCCCCAAAACCCAATTATCTTTGGGAAAAACCATTTAAAAACCTCAAAGCATTAAAGAGGTTTTTTTAGTATAAATAAGATTAATCTTTATCAAAATTCTTAAACATATGTACCCTTATAATCTTTTGTGTTACATTTCTGCGTAAAAATTGACTGAAATTCAACAATTTAAAAAAAGCTCTTTTTGCCATCTTTGAAAAAAGCACAACCCTCTTTTTATAAAATAATCACATGGCCTCTTAAAAAGAAAGAATCCTAATCTCCAACCCCCTTCAAGTATCTCTGAATTCTACTGTTTAGTTTAGCCAGTGAGGTGATTTGTTATATGACTACAACATGAAATGAAGTATCCCTACAGGATGCAGGTACCTGCTTAAGATATTTTGTCTCTAATAATCATTTTTTACTAATAGTTAATGGTGTATTCACAAGAACCCTTACAAAGGTAATAGCAATTTGTATGAAATTTTAAATGCTAAGTAATAAGATATTTTAATGTAAAAATATTCCCCTTACAATGCACTGTTTTAATTAAACAGCAGCAGACATGTCTGTCACAAACTAAGCATTAATGCACACAAGTTGAGGACATCATAGTCACTTCTAGTAAATAAATAACAGCTTATGAATGAAAGGTTTGAGAAAAGGTTGGGTGTGAGATAAGGTACTTATACGATAAGACATGGATAAATGACTATAATTTTTGTATAATCAAATGTAAAAAAAATAATCATAATGGCATAAACGCATGTTGGAAATTATTGTCATTATTGTCTTTGCAGTGGAATTTTCTAATATTATCATACAAAACTGGTTTAAAATTAATATCAGTGTTAACTATTCTACAGAGACCTCATATCAATATTTATCCACATTTCTTGCAATTTTGCATTAAAATTTGCAGCATGTTTTAGGTTCTGAACTGGGAAATGTTAATTTTGTATATTGGAAATAAACTTGTCATTAAGTTGCTATTTGTTTACATGCGTAGGTTAGACCTAAATACCGTGTCCGTTCTTTGTATACTATTGTCTTCGATGCCCTTGTCCGAAGTTTGGCGGAAAGGGCCGAGAAGATGCGACATCATAATCATTTTTATCGTGAAAAATGACCTGAACACCAACAGTGTCTATACTGACAAGCAAAAAAAAAATTTATTTACCGGGCCCTGTTTTTAAAAAAATTTTTAAAAGTAAGATACAATGACGCTCAAAGCAGTTTCATGTATTTTCCTTTTGTTTTGGGGATGTATACATTCAAGTTTGGGGGCCCAAAACCTTTTGTTTTTCTGTGGTCTAAAATGCCCCATACAATCAGGAAGCAGTAATATTAAAGTGCTAAATATACAGTATGTTATAGTACTATTAAGAAGGCATAATAATTTTAACAAAGGCAAAGCCAGGAAGAATATTTCTTTTGTATATACAGTGAATAGAAATAACACTTTTTACACAGTGGGAAAGACACCCAATTTCAAGATTAGCGTCCATCTGACCTACTTTTAGAAACATAAAAAATCTGTGGTTTAATCAAAAACGAAATATTAAAAATGTGTGTCACTAGGTCTCCTAAAAAGAAACATTGAAACACTCCTGATTTTCGAAAAAAAAAAAGAAAGTCTATATTACCGTCAATGGCTTAAATTCTACATAGTTTACACTAAAAAAAAACCTATTTGTTCGTACAGATATATTAATTACATTTGGTCTTCTATAATGATAAGGCATTTATTCAAGAGTCGCTTGTGCTCATTTTCAAAGATTTTGGAAGATTGATTATAACTTAAAAGTGCATCGTCGCGACGCAGTATGCTTTATACGGCAGTATGTCTTATTGAAGGTTATATGGCATACTGCCACACATTTAAAGGCTTACTGCCGCACTATGACATACTGCGTTGGATGGGGTTACGCAGTATGCCATATGCATTTTTTAATGCAAACTGCAGCACTTCGTCGATATTTTGAAAATGTCAATTAAAAGGATTATTAAAATGTTGAATTATTTTAGTATTTTGCATAATAGAGAACCTCAGAAAAAATCTTTTTTCAATATTTAGCGGAGTAAAACGCCAGGCCAAACACACCGACCAAACATTCTTATTCTCCCTGAGAGCATGTAGTCGCCGCTTTGTCCGTCTGTCCGAACTCTTGTCCGGAGCATATGTCAAATACTATTCAAGCTACTATCTTATAACCTCACAGATGGATAGATTTCATTGTGGAGTGGTGCAGTGCTCTTGAACCTAACTCTGTATTTCTCAGGATATAAGAGATCTAGACATGCACGATTAGACAAAATTTCATGAAAAACGAATGAATATTCGAATATAAAAAAACGAATGTTCGGACATCAAAATCCTTAGTCGTTCCCGGTCCTTCTGTTTTCCATCTTAAGATATAAGTTCATTGACATCTGAATAAAGTTGCTGATTGAAAATCAAATGATTTGATGACAACTTCATTATTGTTTTTTCTTTGCATTGGTGCCATGCATGACAAGTTTTGAAAGAATTAAAACACATTTTATTGAACACTTGCACTATTAACGCAGTAGAACGTAATTTAATTCTCGTTTGACACCTCATTACTTACTAATAACTTCGTAATGTGAATATTTCAAGTGATAATTTTCACAGATTACGAGTAAATCCACATAAGAAATAATGATTCACGAAGCCACCCAATTTATCATGTTTTTTCCCTGTCAAGCTGAAGTAAACAACACTATATCGCCGTATCATATCCCTTTACAGGCAATTCATAGAATCACTTTTAAACATAAGTTGCTGTTTTCGTAACAAAAATAGAATCTAGTATAGTAATTGATGTACAGTTCAATAAATATAGGGTGTTTAATGTAGGTGTATTAGTTATATTTCTGAACGAGTTGAATGAACTTACATCATGCGAGCGATGAGCGTGCATAAAGCTGATTTTATTCAAGGTCTTAATTTAATAGATTTATTCAAGGTGCTAATTTAATAGATTTATTCAAGGTCTTACTTTAATAGATTTATTCAAGGTCTTACTTTAATAGATTTATTCAAGGTCTTACTTTAATAGATTTAGTAATGGAAATACTTGAACAGATGATTACGTGCCAGCAGTCAATCGTCTCAGCTAAGCCTCAACATATTGTCTTCATCATAGCTGATGATCTTGGATGGAATGACGTTAGTTTCAATAATCGTGATATGATTACTCCAAATATCGACAAACTTGCAAACAAGGGAGTAATTCTTAACAGCTCTTATGTCCAGCCGTTGTGTACACCGTCTCGGAACAGCTGGATGTCGGGGGTGTACCCATTCAAAGTTGGAATGAAACGCGGGGTTAATATACCAGGCACAAACGAGTGCTCTCCGCTTAGTCTTGAATTCTTTCAACAAAAACTACAAAAGCTTGGATATTCCACGCATATGGTTTTTAAATGGCACCTCGGATCCTGTAGCTGGAATTGCACCCCAATGTACCGTGGGTTCGACTCTTTCCTATGGTATTACGAAGGCATGGCATATTATTACACTTAAGTTATTGGACCACGTATTGATTTCCATGACAACAAAAAGCAGATTAATGACACAACCTTCTCAGCTTATTTGTATACTGATAGGGCCAAAAAGATTATAAATGACAACGATAAAGCAAAACCATTGTTCTTGTACATCCCTTTCCAGTCGGTGCACTCCCGTATTCAAGTACCTGAACGGTTTGAGAATATGTAGCCACACATAAAAACCAAACAGAGACGTCAATATAGCGGTATGGTGTCCGTTTTCAATGAAGCTATCAGAAATATAACAGATGTTCTTATTGAAAATGACATGCTTGAAGACACCCTTATGATTCTTACAGCTGATAATGGGGGAATTCCAACAGCTTCTGAAAACATTATCCACTTTGGTGGCAAAGGCGACGATATTCGAAGGTGAAACACACGCAGCTACGTTTGTAGTAGGATCAGGATTAGAAAAGTCGGGCTACACATATAATGGTCTGATGCATGCTGTCGATTGACACATTAATATTGTTGCTGCTCCAGGTGGAACTGAAAGTGAAAGTAATGATATAAATGGTTTGAACCAATGGGAAGCCATTAGTAAAGGAGCTGATTCAAAACATAAAGAGTTAGTATATAACCTTGATAATTCCGAACAACCAGATACGTAAGGGCACGCTGCAATACGTGTTGGCGACTTTAAGTATATTCAAGGATATCTGGGTACGTTTAGGGACTGGTACAAACCCGATCAGGTATATACAGAAACTTCGGATAATTTGAATAGGCATGGATACCATACAGCGCCTGTCATTGTATTTGAAATGGAACAAAACGAGGGATCGAGAAGGAATGACGTTAAAAATACCCGTAAATGGGAAGGAGAAGGTCTTTACAACTTAATAGATGATCCTCCTGAACACAATGATATAAGTGAATTATATCCTGATTTAGTGAAAGAAATGGAAGCCAAATTTGACAAGTATAGAAAAGGTTACGTGGAACCAAAACATACGCATTCGACCCACGTTCCAACCCGCAAAAAAATCGGCGGATTCTGGACTCCAGGGTGGTGCTGACAATGTTTATGAAACATTCAAAATAAGTAATTTATAATGTAATGATAAATACTAGTATACAGAAATAGTATACGATTTAATTTAAAGTGGATTGGTCTACAATAAGCACAATTTCTAAAAGTATTTTAAACATTGATGTAATACAATACAAATGTTTTATTCGGATATTCATGTAAAACATTACTTCAGCAAAATGTTGATTTCATTTGAATAATAATAACAATATTCTGTTCATGAACGTTTAGTTATCTGCTATATAAGTATGTGTTATATCGGATCATGTATCCATATATAATTCATGGTGTGTTGGTATGCCTGATAAACGTATCTATTGATAGTGCAACCGACCTTTCATTGTATACAATTTCACTTAAATCAATTCTGTATTTAGACAACAGATGAAACAACAGTATGGTATGGACGTTTTAATATCTTTGAATGCTATAATCAAAAGTTTCTTTATGAATATTTTACATGTCACAAAGTATAATTTAGTTTGCAATGTATTTGTAGGAGAGTACATGTAATAAACCATACAGGTATGAATAATTCCAACATACAAATAAAGTTTTACTGCAAAACAAAGCAAAACAGTGAAAATACAAATCATAACAAAATAGTGAAAATACTATAATTACACCGGCATAATCATTTTAAAGTCAAGGGTAAAGTTAGTTTGATCTTCATTAAGGTCTTGTCAGTCGGCTTTTATGTGCAAAGTCTCAAGATAATATCTCTAATTGAAATAACTAAAGTCTGAAGAAAGTAGATGTCAGAGTAAATGGAACGGACGTTTGGTAAGAGTGTAAAATCATAATAGTATAATAATAATAATAATAATTCAGTATATATTATGCTACAAAAACAAAATATTTGCAGGTACTTTTAAGACTCTCGTGGAGCCCATTGCTTTTGAAGATTTGTCTGCTTATGTTTTAATTGCATTCATAAAAGACCCTCCGTTTGGAAAAAACAATAACCGAAAATTATAATTTCTGCTTACAATAGTCTTTTGAATCATTAAGACAATCCACTAAGCTCTTTTATTCTATTTTTGTTCTGAAAGAATGGTATAACTCATACCCATTCAATTCTATTTGTGTTGTATTTGTCCATGATTCACTTCAGAATGTCATTTCAAAATGTGATATAAAATTCATAAAATAAGAGTTTATTGTTTTTATTTGGAATTAACCTTCTATATTACACGAAGAACTCCTGAGTTCTGTTCCGTGGAGGTCCTTTCTTGGACGGAAGTCTCGTCTTTGTTTAAGCGTCTGTCAAAGAAGAGCTTGTCAGTTACTTCCAGCCTTCCTTGCGTCTGTCTAGCATTATCCGAGTTAGCTGGCGGTCGCTTTCCTGTAAAATATTTGGGCAAACAAGCAATATGTGGTAAACAAGATGTGACCGTAAGTGTGGTATATATTTCCTTGTTCTTTAATGTGGTACAAAAGAATGTTATAATAGAATCTTCATAGACAGTCTTTACTTTATTAAAATTATTTCAATTAAAAAAGTAATTACTTAACATTAATTACTATTTATGTGTACTTATCTCCTAAATAATGTCTTCGGCAAGATTGTATAGAAAATGTAAAATTGTAAGGCAAGAAATCCTTTCATTAAGCAATATGTGACAATATACATATGTTCATCAGCTATTGAATGGTATCGGCTTTCTTTTTGTACTTATATACAGGAGTTTATTGCATGGAATATTATTGGAGTTTTTTTGTTTCCATTAGTTCTTTTGAAACCATTTGAGGTATTTTCATCTACGGGGAAACTTATAAAAATAGGAAACAGGAATATTTTATAATCGCTTTGTAAGTAATGTAAACATACGAAAAAATAACATTTTGTAGAGACGGAAATAAATAAGAATACAAAAGTAAAATACAACACCAACTATAAAATAATTAAAATCAAACAAAATCGAATTAACTATGATACTTGATATTTTTTCAAATTACCCAAATGAATTTCACAAAAGTAAAGGAATTAAAATATGAAATGGTCAAAACCCTGGTTTTGAATACATAAAAATTTAAAAACTTCGTTTTTGGTGAAAAGGGTTTTTTAAAAAATTAAAAATAAAAATTTAATGTAAACGGGAAACTCTTTCCCCAATGCGTTGGATCAAAATTAGCATAGGCTTAAACATTTTTCAAAAAGGCTGCTAAAAAGGGAACAGTTCTGTCCAAAGAATTTGACGGGAAACCAAATTTTGGAAAAAAAATTTCGTTTTTTTTCCCATCGCGACGTTACCGGCATTAATTGTAACTGGACAAAATATCTTCAGTTTATTTGAAGACATAGAGGTATGTACTTTTTATTGTTCATAGTTTATAACTCTCTGCACTTCAAATTTGTTATTGATGGTTTTATAGACTGAACTTGCAACAACTTACAATGCAAACCTGGAACAACATTTTTTGTATAGACATACTTAAATTGACATTATGCTCATATTTTCATAGTCAAGTTGAGCTTAATTAACTTTATATTTCAAAAGATTGACTGTTAAAATGGTGTTTGACCAACAGTTGAAATTAGAAATTGTTATTATGTTACTATAAATCTGCCTAAAATTTAAAAAGACTGCCCCACTCTTTTTATAAACTAAGCGTTATTTGTAAATTCTAATGGATCTTTACAGAAATTTCATTTGGATCTGTGCGTTATTTTTTGTTTATGTAAACTTAAAGATTAAATAGAAAGGATTTATGGCAAAATGAAAACTTATTTTGATCTTCATCCGTACACTCAGTATATACCCTTGGATGGGCATAATGTCACTTTAATATAACATTTGTACTATACCTTAAATTGTATCTGTCAGTCATCATTGCTGTGAGTTATGCTATAATTATACTTTTCGTAGTCTTTCAGCTAAAGATTTTAATACTAATGTCGTGGTTGCTAATTCATTGATGCGCACTGAAAATTCTCTTATTATAGAATATATTCAATATTTAAATACATTGTTCACTTTAATTTTATTTTTTCTACATTCATGTTTTATTTATCATTTGAGTATGTAATTTACTTCCAGAATCACAGTTTAAATCTGATATTGCAAAAGAACGTCAAAATTTAGCGTAAAATTAGGAAAAATTAATGCACCAAATTCAAATCGAGAGGGGAACAACCGCTCTGTTTGTGTCATCTGAAACTGATAAAGATCGTGGGGAGATAGTACAGAGACTATCATTATTATACATTCTCACGAATACAGCTTTGTTTGACCTCAACGAATGGGAAACTAACGCGAACCTTGAGCACTTTCAATCACGAAATAGCTTCAAAGCATACATTGAAGCATTTCGCGCAGATGTGCATTCAGAAAATAAAACACTTCATGACGTTCTTAAATTTTATTCTGATATAAACATAGTAATCAGCTCATTCATCGGGGAGAACATCAACATCAATGTGCCTTTTAGACACTGGTTAGAATTAACTGCTTATGAACTGCTTTTGTATGGAAAAGAACAGGCCGGTATAGAACGTGCTTTAGGGAGTACATATTTTGCTAGAGGTATTCATTTATATAATTTGCCGTTCAAAATGCATTTGTATTGACTTGGAAACTTGTCAGTTTATTTATGTATATTGATGTATATATATATGTATATTTAAATTATCATCTATTTAAAGATTAAGTCACTAAAGATGATTATCGAGAAAACTATCATGGTAATTTGTTATAGAATATTTGAAAGAATGATATTTATTCGAATTTTGTAATTTGGCTCAAATTATCAATGTAAAAGAATAATTCCGTCGATAAAGATAAAAACTTTGTTTTATACCAACATATTCCATTACTGCTACAACATACGTTGTACGTTTTTCGCACAATTCATTTGTTGTTTCGTAATGAAATTACGTCTTGGATCAATATTCTGCTCCATCATGCTCACTGACAAGAGACATAATTTGTGCATTATCTACTAAGGCGTAGTGTTTAAATGCTTATATGAAATGCACATTAAATCGTGTAATGAAAATTAATTGTGTGCATTATTAAAACACTATTTGGTTATAAGGTAGATTTTTTATTGATCCATATGTTTGCAAATTAAATTTGTATTTTTCATGTTGTTTTCTTTTTGTGGTAAATAATTTATTTGTAAGGAATGGTATATCATTTATTATTGTATATTTGAATTTAATTTTATCGTTTGCAAAGATTTTAACAAGAAAGACAAGTTCGAATCTGCATGGTATTAAGCGTATACAATCGGTCTTTAACAAGCCTAATATAAACAATAGTTTCGTCTTTTCAAAGTATGACAAGAGCAGAACGTTCACAATTTATTGTAAGATATATTTGAATTGAATTTTTAAGGGTTGTTGCCAAACAAGGATCTATTACTCTACAACGAGAAGCGCGTATTGGGACAACACTTTTTAAACAGGTCAATGATGAACTCTGATTTTGCAAGGAATATGTTTGAGGACATGTTTATTCAAACACAACTTGCAGCTGATATAAAGAAGATGCGGAGTAGAATAAGTCAGAATATTGCTCAAAATGCTTCAACAGCATCCGGTATTGTATGGTTTGATAACATGACAGAATATATCAACATTCTGGAGGTCATACAAGACGCTCTTGCTGAGCGGATTGTTCAGGTAATGACGATACTATTAGCTATAAAACCATAAATTGAAAACAAACAAAATTAAGAAATCATAATATGAGGCATGTCAAAAGTTCGCAAAATGCTTGAATACTAAACACTAAAATTAAAACATATCATCATAACGTTTTAAAATCACTACTTATGTCTAATTCTGTAATTCTATGTTATATAGAGAATTTCATTCATTTTATGAGATGGGTTTCCAAATAACAACTATTTAAACCTTTGTAGTAATGTGGTAGCGGCCCAAGTTCCGACGTCATTTCGACGTCAATGCATTATATAATTAAGTTTGTCCTTAAAGAATAGCATGGGCACCAAGCGTACAATGTACCAGATCAGTTCGCATTCCAAGAATATCTATTTATATAGTGTGTGGAAATTCTTTGCTGATCTAGATTCTGTCCGACACACAACACACATTCGTCGTCTGTTTTTAGATCGAAGTTACAAAGCCGCCATGGCTATGAATAAGTGTTCGTCTTTCCAATCGGAATTTGCTAGCAAAACTTTTATAAAACTTTGTGTCATTATCAAGTCGTGCTCTGTCATCGTTCTGTTGCTTGTTTATCATTTTGATTGTTTCATTAGATAGGATTTAAAGAAGCACACATAACTTTACTACATTCCATTTGTTTACTTTTTTACTACCGATTAAGTCAATCATGCATGCTGTACAAGCACGTGTGTGTATTTATAATACAAAACCTTTCAATGAATGACATCAGATAAACCCGTCAACGATTCAGGAAACAATATGCAAGATTCTTGTTATCATTATGCGAACTTTTGGATAATCTTCGTATATCATATGATAAGACATAATTGCACCTAGAATTGTATGTTTAGTATTTACATTTTTCCATCTTTCAAACAGTACTCTTATTCAAACATTTTTTCCATTAGGGATAAAACATTGTAGCAAATGTGAAATGCTTTGTAACACAACACTAAATGGAGCTTAATAAGAAAAGTATTTACTCTTAATTCCAAGAAATATTCGCCTTGCTTTTTCCTCTTGAACATATTGTTAAAGAACCTCATTAGATCTCATTTTATTATTTATTCAAAGTAACATTAACCAAACATTGATTTCGTCTCCTCTTATAGAAAAGAAATCAGAAAGATCTAGACTTATTTACGCTTAATTTGCTTGAAAGATATGAAGAGTTTTGACCTTTTGTCGATATGAAAGTATCCTTAAGTCACGTACTGATTGGTGTACCAGGTTTACAAACGAGACAGTTACCTATACATAAATCATTAAAACTTCCAGGACATCATACATTTGTGATTGTTACAGCTTTATTTGTAATGAGAAGAGATTATTTTGCTTCGTCTAAAACCCTCATAAAGAAGAAACAGAAACCAAATTGCATTAATGATACGCAAGATTTCTAATTATTAGACATCATCTCGGGAAATAAATTAATTAGATGACAAACGATATGGATAAATCGGTTGCTGAAATTAGTCCATTGTTATTGAACGAAAGTTAGTTCATTGAAATGAAGTACTTTGGATAGTAGACAACTGTTCTTTTATGATATATTTATCAATAATATAGACACATGAAAAGTTATTAATTACGCAGAATTCTAGTGAAATAAACCCTACCTGGATATTATGAACGAAATGAAATGCAGAATATGTGTCCAATACTTCCTTATTGCCTTTGTTGAATTCTATCAAAAAGATGATTTAATATGTTTTCGAAAATAGGCTCTTAAACAACAAAAACTAATCTTTAAATAAAACACAAGAAATCACAAAGCAACAAAAACAAATAAATTATCAATTAGGAAACGCTGCAGTTCGCAATGACAGTACATTACAAAACAAATGAAACGTTGTCCTTAGAATTAAATATATATATCACGTGTGTGCTTGGCATAGTTTCTGTATATTTACAGTTCTGAATAGCAGAACGAAACAGAAAAATGTTCATACGGATACGTCAGTTTTATAGTTTTCATATTTTCAGCATGCAGTCGAGGAAAACAAGTATGTAGAAAGCACTCTTGTAGCATGCATTGTTCAACTTTTTATAGCTATTGTCACAGTTCCTATTATATTTTTCCTGGTGAATAATATCGTCAACATATCATCTTTGCTGGAGAAGAAGAAGTTTCACCTCGAAGCGGAAAAACACCAAACAGAATTACTAATACAAAAATTGGAGACGGAGCGGAAACGGACGAAAGAACTTTTGTATCAGCTTCTTCCAAAGTCTGTGGCAAATACAATTATGGAAAATGGATTTGTTGAGCCTGAGTCGTATAATGCAGCGACAATTATGTTTTCTGACGTTGTTGGATTTACAAGGATTTCCAGGCTGGTGTATTTTCTAGTATTGTTTTTTTTTGCGATTTAACTGTTTTTCTACAATATGAAATTTATTTTACCTTGCTATAATTGTACATGACTTAATTCGAATTAAATTAAATGATTTTTAATTATTTCAAATGACATAGGTAAGTCATAACGAAAAAGTTAAGTCCTTACAAAAAACATTAAACTTCATAAAATGTCTATATTTAACAGCTCTAAGTATTTGCAATATGTATGACATAATAAGATTTAAATGCCCGGCCGTTAACATAAGAAGAAATTTGACATTTAAATAAGATGCTACGTTCATTTATGTCATTTTCTTTTCAATTTTTCGAAAGTAACTCCATTTCTACCGGTGATCTTAGTAGTTTACAGAACCCATTAGGTGTTGACTACTATTAATATTTTATTTACTTCATGATAGTTACCTAATCTTGTCTCAACATGACTAAGTTATAATATAGTTCTCTTTCTCTTAGTGTCATCACCCCAATGCAGGTTGTGGCAATGCTTAATGGACTTTACATGGCAATAGATGGTCGGTTGGAACTATTTGATGTTTATAAAGTAGAAACAATAGGTAAGAGTTACATTGCCATTACGCGTTTCATGTTTAATAACTAAAATCACAGTTTTTAACCAAAGTATGTTGGTCATTTGATTGGAATAAGCAAATACACTTATTGCTGAACAGTATCAAACGCTTGTTAAGATTTAAATCTGATATTAAGATGCCGGGAACCTCCAGGATAATTTCTTTAACTTAGATTCAATTTCTTCTAACAAACGCATTAAAAAATTAAGTTTGATACGACCATTTTAAGCTTGTTAAACAAAAGTGCAAATGCATCATAAAAAATCCCGCCGTGACTGAGATTCGAACTCGCAGCCTAACGTAAAAGTAACAGCGTTCTAGACAATGTAGACCACTGAGTGAAAGAATCGATTCCCTGTAGTTGTCACAGTTTTATAATATTGCACGTTTGTAACGTCGCTTTTTATTGAATAATCGTGAAGCTGGTATAATTTACGCAGGCGTTTACTAAGTCATTACAATTGTCAATATTATAAGATATCAAAACATAACGATTATTGCAAAGTTTATTTTACATTGTTTAGTTATAAAGCGTCCATTAACTTATTATTGATTCAGAAGTAAAAACATGATTCGTGTCTTAATAGTATATCTTATATAGTAATATTTCAATGATATTCATCTTCAATAGGCAATAAATCTACACTATTAACCATGCTTATTTCAGGTGATGGATACATGGTTGCGTCAGGTCTGCCGAAAAGAAATGAAGATCGACACGTCATTGAGATAGCTAGACTATCTTTAGATCTTCTAAATACTGTTAAGCATGTGGACATTGACAACCTTCGGGAAAATCATCTTCAATTAAGGATTGGTTTTCATACAGGTAATGACACCTTGACAATGTTTCAACGTTTGTTGATATTTATTCATGATCAGGGATATAATTTTTATGACTTTATAAAATAGTATACACCGTTTGGTTGGTATACATGAATCAATTGTCGGATTGGTTAATATAATGTTAAGTGATGGTAAGCTCAGCGGCATTTATGTCACAATGTCAAATTCTATTTTTCTGATTTGTAGATTACAATGATAATTTCACCACAATATACATGTATTTGTCAACAAAAGATCACAAATCTATTGTTATGTAAATAAAACATTAGAGTAGGGAACTTTCAACTTGTTGAATGTTTTAGACTTATAATAATTATTAGACTAAGTATAATAAAGAAAAATATTAAATACAGAAACAAATACAATGTTGATCTTATAAATGAAAAGCTCTTCAATTTTTTGTGTGTTCATTTGAATAGTTATATATTGGCAGGCCCATGTGTTGCTGGAGTTGTTGGTATAAGAATGCCGAGATATTGTATATTTGGTGACACCGTCAATACTGCCTCAAGGATGGAATCAACTGGTCTACGTAAGCTATACTTGTGTACAGCATATACCATCATAGCAACAAAAATCATTTTACCCCCTCCACGATACATTCTTCGTAGGTTAGAAGTAATTGACGATATGTATGTGAATATGATTATTATAGTCAGGGAGATTAAAAGTTGCTCCGAAGCATGCATTGTTATGCATACTATCATTTCATGTGTCTTTTCATTCCTGAATTCATCTGTGTTTTTTTGAGTCGATGTACAAATCCGCATCGTATTGCACTATTTCAAATCGCACGATTCTTACTGTAAGCACACCGGCGGAATTGTTTCCCAATTGTTAATTTTAAGTTATAACTCTTGATATCGGATTATAAATCAGTCCTTAGTTTCTCTAAAAGTAAAAATATTGAAGTCTTATTCATATATTTGATACATGTTTATTTTATATTTTATTTTGTAGCAATGCAGATACAGATGACTAAGTCATCCACCAAACACTTGCGGAAACTCATTAAATTTCAAATACGTAAACGAGGTCAGATAGAGGTCAAGGTAACTACTTTTCGTATGGCAGATTTTACAAAGTATATAACAACGTAACTTTTCGGTTTTAATATTTATTTTAAATTTAAATTTTCATCTTGTTGTTTATTTCAATTTAGGAATTTAATTAACCTTAAAAATGTCTATAATCAAATAAGAAAGGTTAAAAATGTCCCGTTATTAACGTTACTTTTTTGGTTTTGAAAATATTTATGCATATAATAAGATTAACTCTCACAACGTAAGTCAATGTCATTGTTTTTCAGGGTAAAGGTTTGATGACAACATACTGGTTGCTAGGATACAACAGCAATGATAACAATGATGACAAAGAAACAGAAAGCAGCCACTGACAAATAATCTGTTGTCAGTGAAGACTTTCAAACATCGACTAACAGTTATGCATAATATAATTATTACACAAGGAGAAAAATAAAATTATCTTTTGGACTCAGGTTTAGTCCTTTTAAGAGAAATATTATGTAATTTTAACCCTGCAGATGTTGCTGCTCATTCATATTTACCGTCGGTACTTCTTTCTGCGTTAAGTCTTATTTCGGCTTTCTAACTTACAAAACTTTCAACACTAAACAGAACACATGTATTGTATTTAAAATCATAATAGCTTTGAATTATTGAAAATTAATTCAAACCTGAATAACATCATCATACTTCAAGAAGACGATCATAAAATACATATATTTGTGATACAAATAAGTAGCAAGTTCGCAAATAATTATGTAATTAATAATTATGTTTCAACTTTGGTTTTGCTAAATGATTAGAGGTATTCAAAATAATTTTATTTAAAAACATAGTTCATATAGTCATCCCATCCATCCGCCATTAAGCCATCGGATGTATACATGTATTTGGATCAGTCAGGTAATATTAATACCTATTTTCGTTAGAGGTGCCTGCAAAATATAAACATAAAAATGAGAGAAAGTTATTTAGCTAGCATACATAACGTCGAAAGTAATACTCAGGTGCCCGTTCATGCCTGAAATAATGCACGGAAGGGCACCTGAGGTTTTCCTTCATCCATAAAACTTGGAAGTTGGCATATAATTACTGTGTTGGTGCGACGAACTACCCACCAAAAATATAAGATGACAACGTTGTTTTGTTTACGAATTGAAGTGTCACATCATAACAGATTTAATCAATTGATACATTTTTTATCATGATAAAAATATATGATTATTTTGATATGCTATGTTTGATGTATTAAAACTAGAAAGGGTTTAGTTGATTTGTGCATTTGCTGGTTTCCCCTGTAAAAAGAGAATAAATTTTCGGTTCATTCTTCATCCATGCAGAGTCTCGTTCAAATCTATTTAAAAGACCCTGGTTTGTGACATAGTAAATCCTTATTAAAGCAATCTCTATCTTTGTTAATGAACATTAAGATAAAATTTTAATGGTAAACTCAGCCTAGAACAGTGATAACAGCTAAAAAAGAATGCTCTTTTGTGTTGATAATTTGACTTTATGGTTAATTAATAATAATCGTTGACAAGATATATTTATGTTGATTTAAACACGTTAAACCTAGTATCATGCAGATATTTTGATTAACACGATATGTATTTTATGTAAAAGCATTAGTGATGTAATAGGTATTACAGTTAATTTTGACTGTTGAATATTTTTAAAGTGGAAATGCATATTTTAAAACACTGGCATTGGGATAATATGTTATATATAAAATAAGCGCACATTTACTAATTCTAACAATATTTAAATGAATAGTAATTTTCTTGCAAGATTTTCTCATGAAAAGAGCATGATGGGCGGGATGTATTAAAACATATTAAAACCATGAAACATTACATAAACAGTCGAAATGAAGACAAACGTAAATTATTTTCCGATTCAATTTTATAGTAACACCTTGCATAATATTCACCAAATCATGGGTAGATTTAATGTAATACATATATTATCTGCTGCTTAATATAGATTCTGAAGTTTATTTTGTCTACGTAAGAGGCTTATTTTTGTATCATATATATTGTGTGGGCTGATTAAAATGTGGTACTGACAAATAAGATTTTAACGGCTTACTTCTAATTAACACACGAGTTTTAGAGCTAAAATATCGCTACAGTATTTATAATTAAGATGGAAGTTGTATTATGTATTACTGATATCACACCTTATGCTAAACGTCTAATTGCTAGAATTGAAGTGTTAAACTCACAGACGTTAAAACAACCAAGTGCGCTAATCGAGAAAACAATGGGCGGAACAAAATAAAATGGAATTATGAAAGGGGATCTGATGTTATGAAGCCTGCATATCACAGATATGACGTCAAAAGACAAATTTTAAAAGCAGGCCACATATCCTAAGGGTGATTCAACAGTATTCAAGTTAGGAATATTGGAACCACCCAACAAGAAAGATGCCGAATCGAAAGAACTAAAAAGACACAAGCACAGCAATTATGTCGTGCTGAACGATCTTTAAGGATCGCGTATTTGGACATCACTTTTTTAAACCGGTCAATGATGAACTCTGATTAAGCAAGGCATGTTTATTCAAACACAACTGGTAGCTGAAATAAAGAACATGCGAAGTTGGATAAGTCAGAATATTGCTCAAAATGCTTCAGCAGCATCCGGTATTGTATGGTTTGATAACATGACAGAATATATAAAAAAATTTAGAGGTCATACAAGACGCTCTTGCTGGGCGGATTGTTCAGATAATAATGAAACTATAAAACCATTATTGCAAAACATTTAAAAAAAATCCTAATACGAGGTGTGTCCCAAAAGTTCTCATAATAATTTTTGTATTAAATTAAAACAGATCACGATAACGTTTTAAATCAATATATTTTCACTTTACATACAGAATTTCATTCATTCATGGTTGTCCCAAAAGTGATGAGATAACGTACGAATTTACTATTGAAAATATCTAGCCATCAACTAGCTTAATAAGAATAGTATATTACTCTTAATTCCAAGAAATATTCGCCTTGCTTTTTCTTCTTGGACATATTAAAGAACCTCATTACATCTTATTTTATCATTTGGAAGCATTGATTTCGTT